AGGTTGGGGAAGTGTTTTAAAGATGGAAATCTGGAGAGCAAAAGTGCTGGCATGAAAAGCAGTGGATCCCTGAAGAACAAGAGCTCATGACAAGGAAGAGCAACTGTCCACTACAACACCTGTGCTTGAAAGCCCAAGGACAGGGGTCAGAGTTCAGGGCAGAGAATAGCAAAATAAAAGAATAATTATTTTGAATAGAAGAAGGATGTATATTATAAGGCTACAGTTATTAAGATGTGCCACTGGCCAAAGAATCACTTAATCACTTAATCCCCGTTATTCATCGATTTATTCGAGCGGGTGCCAGTAACGTCTCCATTCATCCCGGTTGCGTGCTAGCGTAGCCCAATGGTATCTGTTCGTTTTAGGAACATGTAGAGCCTCAAACCGATCATTTAGGGTCTTGACGAAGAAGTCTGACCATCTTATAGGTGGGCGTCCACGTGATCTTTTGATGTCTCGTGGAATCCAATCAGTAATGGCTCTAGTCCAGCGGTTGTCTGTAAACCTCATTACATGTCCAGCCCATCTGATTTTTGATGTCTTGGCAAATGAGACAGCGTCCCTGATTCTTGAGCGTTGACGAAGATCAGAACTCCGGATTCTATCTCTCATTTGAGTGAATCGTGATATTCCAAGCATAGTTCTTTCGATTCCTCTTTGAGAGACCCGAATAGTGTTCTCATCCTGTTTTTGTAGGGTCCAGGTCTCTGAGGCATATGTTAATGCAGGAAGAATAGTGGAATCAAAGAGATGTGCTCGTAGCTGGAGGTTCTTTGTCCTTTTAGTTATTTCTTCAATGCTCTTGAAGGCATTCCAAGCCGCTCTCTTCCTCCTGCGTAACTCAGGTGCCAGGTCATTCATCATGTTGATTTCTCGACCTAAGTATATATAACTGTTGCATTCGGAGATGGTGGTTCCGTCAAAGAATCACAGGTAGATTAATAAAAAACAGAGAGAGCCCAGATATAGACCCTTGCGGCTATAGCTAGTGATTTTTGGCAAAGGAGCAAAGATGATACAACAGAGAGCAAATAATCTTTTCAACAAATATGCTGGAACACCTGGACTAACATATGACAAAAAAAAATCAGAGATATCTTAGCATGCACAAAAATCAACTCGAATGGACCACAGATGTAACTGTAAAATGTCAAAGTATAAAACTACCTAGAAATATGGGAGGAAACCTAAATGAACTGGGCCTGGGAATGGTGATAATAGTTATACCACTACAGGCACAGTCTCTGAAGAGAGCAAAGAAGTGTGCTTTGCTGCTGCAGCCTCGTCTCCTTGTCTCCTTCTGGCAGGCAGGAGGAGACTTCTGATTCTGCTCTCTGTAGCCAGAGGCACCAAGGGAAAGGAGATTGTGTTTTGTAGGTGTGTTTTGCAGGTACATGAGTTTAAGCATCATGATTTTGGTTGCAATAATCTCCATAGCAGTTAAATCACACCTTTTTTTAACCTAAGCAATATTGAGATGTGATTTACATGCAATTCGGTATAGTAGTTTTAGATATACACACCAGTGAGTTATGACAAAATGGACAGCTCATTTTAACTACCACTGCAGTTCAGATACTGAACTTTTCCTTCACCTTGACCTTTTCTGGGTAATCTCTACTCCACATCACTGGCAGCTTGGGATAGAAAATGCTGCTTTCCATTGCTATAGATTTCTTACACTTTTCATACAGTTTTCACCAATGGACACATTCAGAATGTGTTTTCTTTTAACTTTTGCTCAACACAGTGTTGTTGAGATTCTCCCCATGTTTATGTAGGTCAATGGCAGATTCCTGTTGGGGTTGCTATCCCCGGTGAGCATAGTGATGAAAATGATGTATGAGCAAACACATGTATGAGAACCACAGCAACCCCGGGCAAGTCCCACAATCGTAACTTGTGGTGCTCAAATAAGAGTGACCCCTGGGCAACCATGTGCAAGCATCACAGCTAAAGGGGCTCAAACCTTGGTGAGCACCATGACCAAGGGTATGAGCACCGTGGTCAAGTGTGTGACCTAATGTACAACTTCTGGTGATGTCACAGCCAGGCATTTGTGTGTATGTGTGTGTGTGTATGTGTGTGTGTGTGAGAGAGAGAGGGAGAGAGAGAGAGAGGTCCCTCTGTCATAGCAATAGAGGTAACAATGGTAACAATGGAAGAAGGATGGGGAGAGAATAAAAAAATAAAATAAAATACAAAAAAATACAAAACCAACTACTAATTGCTTCCTTTTAAACTTCCTTTTAAACTTCAAGGTAGAATTCCATTGTGTAGATTTATCACAATCTGCTTACCCACTTCTCTGTTAATGGACATTTAATTAGTACAGTAGCATTAGGAATAATGGTGCTATACAACACAGGTCCTTCTTGCAGATTTATTTTTCATTTCTCTTGGGAAAATATCTAGGAGTGGAATTGTTGGGTCATGTAGTAAGCATATATTTAGCCTTATAAGAAACTACCAGAGCACATTCTGTTCTAGGAACTTGGTTTGGGAAACGAGTTATCATGGGGCCTCTTGTGTTATTTATCCTCCTGTTCCCCAAATCCCATAGGATTTTGTTGACTATAGTTCATAACCCGCTTGGAAACAGGTCAGTATGTCAGTGTCTGTTTGGTCTCAAAGTTCTGGCTTAGGGTCAGGGTCTGTTCTGAGTTGGACCATATTGAGTCATTGCTCATGCTGAAGAGGCCAACAGATCTGGGAGAAAAGTTTAAACAAATAGTGTGCGTCCTTTGAAAGAGAGTGTGTTTCAAGACTGGGGGTAAGGCTGTTTTTGCACTACAAGAAAATAGTTGGCCCCTGGAGAAGGTGAAGTCCTTGTAGAGGAAGGTGGGCTTCCAGTTAAGCTCTTTCCTTCATTTACCTGGTTTCCTAAGGACAGAAATCTGTGCTCAAATGTGAGAATTCATTCCCTGAACAGAAAAACCCCAAAGATGGAATATGCCTTTACGTAAAATAATTTAGGTCTTAGAACGCAAAGGGTTTGCAGATGTGAACCCAGGAAAGAACAGATGACAAATATCTGCTAACTGCAAATGTGCCAAGTAAGCATAGAATAAGACTGGTTAGGATTTTTAGATGTAGAGAAGAACAACAGCAAAAATAGAATAGGAAACTGTCATGGACTTTATTTTTCAAGAGTGACTTCTGATAGACTATGTGAAGCCCCTGCTCTTTACCTATTGTATGTGCAACCCCCACAGGATGGAGGTCGAAGTTGCCAACCCTATTGGCTTTAGACACTCTTCTTGGTCTGGAAATTACCGAGAGTTGCGCGTGGTAAAGGGAGAACAAGGAAACCTTAGCCTGAGGCTTGTTTCTGCTTCCAAATCATAGAGTAAATAAAATGAGATACCAACCTACCCCCACTAGTCTGAACCAGGTGAAATGGTGCTTTGTAATGGAAATAATAGGCAAATATTGGTTGCTGTGAACCTATATCATAGTAAATAGCCATACAAATTGCTTATTTGCTTCAGCCTTTTTGGGAGATGGGGTGGGGGGGAAGGGCAGGGGAACCGGGAATATGGGGGCCACACTTGGAGGTACTATTGTAATCCCCTTCATTATCCTGAGTTACATGAACAGAATTTACCTGCACACATATTTTCTAGACATCAACATGATTTAACTAACATAAAAGATAAAAGGAGACTTCATAGCTCATCTCAATGTACTTCCCTTCGTAAATGTCCTAAAACAGTGTGTTCCGGTGCTCATTTCTGAATTTAAATTTGCCATTCATTAAACAGCTAGTGAAGACGGATATTTGATACAGGCATGGAATCCAGTTGCAACAGTTTGACGTTAATGAGATGATTTTTCAGGAAGAGAAACAATTCCTGGAAATATTCTAAACAAAAAAAGCAAGAAGTCTTCCCACATTTTACAGTAGTTGTATACATAGAAATTTTAGTATGTGTTCAAATTGTACACAAAATAGCTTGCTGTAGAATTAGCCTGGGTTTAGGTATATGTATAGTTAGTTGGACAATGTTGACACCTGTAAGCAGGTCTAACAACTTCTATCAGGCCATGGGGCGGTGCGAGGCTGTGCCTGTCTTAGCAGGATGAGGGGCTGCACTATGGTGCCGCCCACCAACACACCCTCAATACACCCTCCTCCAGTTCTAGAAACCCCCACCAATTCTTGTGACAGCAGGAACAGCCCTTTGGGTTTCACTTATAGGTATGCTTTGCTTCCCCCTGAACCACAGCACAAGGACTTAGCCTCTAGCAGAGAGGAAAGGGGGGCTCTGGTTGGGCACAGTTAAATCTGAACATCAAGAAATACCAGGAGGGAGGGGTGGCAGAAAATCCATGAGTCTGTTGTGGCTCAGCATCTATGACTCTGCTCGGTGCTCAGATCAAACAATAGCCAGTAGGAACTGCTGGGGTGCAGAGATGGGGCCAGGTTGGGTGGTCAGGAGTGGACATTTATAAGTGGACACTGTGTGTGTATGTGGGTGTGGGTGTGGGTGTATGGTGTCAGAGATTGAGCCATATCTCATGCATGCAAGACTTGTTTTTCCCTGTTGAATCACATCCTCACACCCACAACCCCTTGAATACTTGAATTCGTTTAGCTTTTCTAAAATTTAAAGCACCCTGATTTACAATGCTGTTCATGATAACGTCTCATGCATACAGCATCCCACCATCACACCCTCCAGCAGAGTGCCACTTCCATCCGCCACTGTCTTAGTGTTGTGTGCCCTTGCCAGCCCTTCATCCCTCCTTCAGGAAACCTAGCTAAGCCAATTTTCAGGTCCCGTTTGTCTTTGACAATTTGTTTCTCCCCGACCATGTTTCTTTATATCCCACATAGGAGGGAGATCATTCTGTCTGTCCCTCTCCTGGCTGACTTCACTCAGTAGATCCATCCACATGGCAAAAAAAAAATTGCATATTTTATTTTCCCCTTATAGTCAAGTCGACTACTTCAATTTTTAAGAACACTTACAAAATATTTTCTTTTCCAACAGAAACCTGTTTCCTTCAAATCTGGTGGTTGCCACTTTTCGTACGGTAAGCCTTGTTGCTTTGCTAAAAATATGAAACTTCGATGGGCATTGGATAAATAATACTAGAGTTAGGGAAGATGGGAGAGATGGATGAATAGATTGGTAACAAAACTTGGTAACATTGGCCTACATTTCTGGCATATGGGCCCATAGAATTAAAAAAAAAGTAAACATTAAAACAAAAAAAAATTTTTTTCTAAAGTATTCACTGATTTTAGCATTTTCTTCTACCACTGGAGATATAACCCCAGATTAGGGATCTCTTAAATGTTTTAGGAAAGCAATACACACACACACACACACACACACACATATATATACATACACACACACACACACACACACACACACTTAAAGCTCTTTTCTAAGTATGCAAATAATCTCTGCTCATTGCAAGAATATTAAAATACAGAGGGAAATTAAAATCCCCCATAATCACTACCTAGAGTAACCCATTAACATGTTGGTACATGCCCTTCAAATAGTTTTTTTTCCCTCTGGGTCTGCTTTAACATGGCCACCTATGTGAACACATATACTTGCATGGGCACTAGCTGCAGGCCACTTGGCTCCCAGCAGTCTGTTGTGACATGTTCCTGAACTGCTTCTGGACTTCTGCATGACCAGCTCTGCTCCACACTTCAGCGTCCAGTTGCACTGTCTCAGCCCCAGGCTAATGGACAACTGTCAGTTTCCAGCTGTTCCCTGAGTTTAGCAACATCACAAGCAAACATCCCTGTGGCATGCTTTACACCACCACTGCCCAAATGGACCATACTGCCACCCTGGGGGCAGGGTGGGAGGGATGGAGGGGTATGTGGGGTAGAGGGCTTCTGGAACGATCCAGGGCAGGAGGCAGTAGCCTCAGGTGCAATAGGAGGTGAGGGACACTTTCTTTTTGCTTTTAGAAGGTAGATTGGGAGAGGGGGAAAGGGTGGGAGGGGGGTTTAGACCAAATCACTTTGGAAACCTAAGGAATAGACCTGTCAAAGTTCTGTAGACTAATCTGATTGCATTTTTTGAGCAAAGATGTTTGGTCCTACGTTAACCTCTCTCTGAGTGTGTACATGGCACAGCTGTGGCTTGTACATACATTGTGAGGCCAGCGGGAAAGGAGGCATTTAGGGTGCTTGCATGGTGGTGTGCTATCTCTGTCACAGGAAATTCAAACACCACTGTCCTCCAGGAACCTGGTCAAGCAAATCTGAGGGACACCAGAGCCCCTCAAAGGCAGACACAAAGCAGACCCCTGCCTTGCATGGCTCCTGGCAACTTAGAAGCTAAAGAAAGATATTTAGAAGGTGTCAGGACATAGGTTTGTCTACCCGGAGCCTTCTGTGTGCTGCCGGAGGAAGTGAGCCAAGACCACCACAGGCCCAGAGTTGGTGGAGAGCTTCTCTCTGCCATGGCTCTACCAGCAGTTGTCCTCTGGCATCCCAGCCCAGATCCGAACCAGGTGCTGAGACGTGGTCAAGCTGAAAGACAATCTGGAGTGAAGTGGAATATCTAGGTGTGAGTGAAAATAAAAAAAAAAAAGATGTTGAAAAGTGAACTCAGATGTTTGTGGAATAAATACTCAATGATGGGATGCTCAAGTGCTAGGATCCCACCTGCTAAATTCACTACCTCTCAGCATGAAGCTGTGAACACCATCGTCTCCCATCCAGCACCAAGGGATCTAGGTCCCTACGTAACCCAGAGGTTGCTTTGAGCATGCAGGCTGCCTGGATTGTAATGTCATTTCTGTAGCGGTCTCCTGGGCCTGCATCTGGCCCATTCAGGGATGAAAGCCCAGAACAGCGGGAGTGAGAATGCTGATGGGCAGCTGGAGGCCCAGCCTCTGGGTTTCTCTAAGCCTTCATCAGCAAACTGATCCCCACCCCTCTCTTTCTCTCACAGTATGCAACCGATTACAAAATGGTGGCTCACAACACAAGCTCTGGAAACATAACCCATGAAAAGGTAACGCTCTTTGTAAGGTTGCTTGTAAAAAGTACTTCTCAAGCAAACACTGTTTGGGTGCGGCGGGTTGGCGCCTGGGTTGCAGTGCCAGGGATCAGACCTCGGACCTCACACTTGCAAGGCTTATGCTCTAACTACTTCCCCTTCCTTCAGTAATTAACTTATCACACCCCTTCTGCTCTCCCAAAATATAACTAACCTTCCACAGAATTCATTCTACATCCATCCCCAGTTATCTCTTGAGTTCCTGTTGCTTGCCACGATGGCCTTCCTGAATGAGCTGGTAGGCACCCCCTGGTGGGTTCAGTGTAGCCACGGGGCCGTCAGTGAAGAAGGGGGTACTTTGCCCTTCTCTACCCCCATTGACATCACACCATTCCTGGGGCTAAGTGGCTTCATTGAAGGAAAAGTCCTGCATTTTTTTACCCAATGGTACTCAGGGCTTATCCTGACTCTGCACTCAGGAATTACTCTTGGCTGTGCTTGGGGGACCATGTGAAATGCCAAGGTTGGCTACATGCAAGGCAAGTGCCTTACCCGCTAATATCACTCCAGCCCCAGAAAAGTCCTACTTTAACAATAAAAATCTCAAAACTACTTAGATTTAGTTATAATTCCCTTCATCTAGATGAGAAGTGGAGGCTTGGAGCAGTTCTTTAATATCCAAGCTGGAACTGGATTTCATAGGTGTGGTCCAAAATTCTCCTATCTTACCAAGCAGACCTGCTTCCTGTCTAGAATTTTATAATATTTTTATTGAATAAAATGTGCAACTTCAGGCCTGCAGTAGTGAGATTGAACATTGCTGGTGGTGGTGGAGGAGGGGGAATTGACTTTATACATTTTTAAGTCAGTGATTTAGACAAGAACACCGGAAACCATCCTAACGTCACTCCTGACAATCCCTTGTGACATTCGTCACAGGGAGCTCACAGAGTCACATTCTGGAGGAACTCATTAGCTCACTCTTTTCAGAGCAGTGTTTGTTGACTGTCCAGCCTCTCTCACACCTGTCCATAGACTGGGCATTCACTACTTCCTGCTTCTACCTAAGCCCAGTTTTGAAACCACTTTTCGAGCTATTGGCTAGATGAGCCCCTCTTTTGCATTTCTGCCTGCGCAAAATTGCTGAAGTTGACGAAAATACAAAGCTCTTCTCACTGTGGATGTTGGGTTTCATTCTGGTGGCAGCACCCAGCAAGTGCCTCTCACTCATGGTTATAAACTCAGACCCTCTGTCCCCTCTGACCCTCCAGATCCCCATTGGCACTGAGATCGAAGGGATGAACATTTTAGGATTGGTCCTTTTTGCCCTGGTGTTAGGAGTGGCCCTAAAGAAACTCGGCTCTGAGGGTGAAGAGCTCATCCGGTTCTTCAACGCCTTCAACGAGGCAACAATGGTGCTGGTGTCCTGGATTATGTGGTGAGTGTCACCCTGCAGCATTCTCTTCCTCTCATTTCTATTGTCATCCCAAACCTTGCCCTCATAGGTTTGCCCTCCTGGGGGCTACCTGGCCCAGCCCTGCCGCCCAGGGATTGATGCCCCACAAGAGCCCCTTCTTGGGTTTAGGGTGTGATGGAGGTGACAGTTCCTTCTCTTTTCTGGGACCCCAGAGAGGTGGGTGCCGTGGTCACTGCCTGAGCAGCCCAGCGACAATTGTCCTGCCATCAGTGATCTCTGTCTAGGTCTCCACCATTACCCACAACAGATGTTTGATTCAGCATTTTGTGGGGCAGTTACCTGTTTGCTCTCAGTTGCATGAAATAAGGTTCACTTATCTCAAAATGGTAGAGTCCAAGCTTTAAAGGGGCCCATTACTATAGTATTTTACAACATGAAAAACAACTGCATCGGGGCTGAAGCCATAGCACAGCGGGTAGGGCATTTGCCTTGCACGCAGCCAACATGGCCGACACAGGTTCGATTCCCAGCATCCCATATGGTCCCCCGAGCACCACCAGGAGCAATTCCTGAGTGCATGAGCCAAGAGTAACCCCTGAGCATCGCCAGGTGTGGCCCAAGAAGCAAAAAAAGAAAGAAAGAAAGAAAGAAAGAAAGAAAGAAAGAAAGAAAGAAAGAAAGAAAGAAGGAAAGAAGGAAGGAAAGAAGGAAAGAAAGAAAAACAACTGCATCTTTACCTGATGCCTATAAGCACTTTGTATGGTATTTTTTACATGTTTCTCTGCATAATACAAGAAAAGTGTAGTTGTTTTAATAAAGCCATTAAATTGAATTCTGGCTAAAAGATCAAAATTGGACACCCTTCTCAGATACAGTTCTCAGAAAGCCCTGCCACACATCTCTCCCAAACTTTATCCTATTTTGCTCAAACCAGATTGTGCAGATTTTAGCTTCAACCTAGTTTTGTTTTTAAAGATTAGCTTATCCTTTTGTGCACAAAGCATTTTTTTTTTTTTACTGTCAAGCCGTACGTGCCCCAGCACTTTTCTCTTTCAGATGGCATTGAGATGCCAGCTGGACCTGTGTGAGGCCGGAAGCCTGGAATTTGGTGGGAGGTTGGGAATTAAGTGAGAGGCCAAGTTCAGAGCTTTCACTGGTGGTGTTTGTCTTGTTCAACCAAATTTTCTTGCACAACCAAAAATTCCAGAGTCTGACTCTGGCGTTGAAAACATGACACTTCATATTGAACTTCATATTGAAGTTGTTGTTCTGGAGAGAGAAATATTTTCTGAAAGGAAAAGAAAATATTTCCAGTACCTGTCAAGTTCTTTTCCTAGCTTATTTGTTTAGTCTAAAATACTCCCAAAATTTGGAATGAAGGAAATTGTGTCCAAGAAAGTGGTATTGCTCTGCTAGGACATTTGTTTTTAATCTGGAAACCAACTTGCAGTCATTCCTTCCATCTGATATACTGGATATGCAGCAGATACTCAGCAGGGCACCCCAAGTGAATGTCTGACTGCATTGAGCGACCTTACACCAGAAAGTGCAGTTAACATAGAAGTGGGACTAAATGCCTTGACAGAAGTGATGGAAGTTCATGCTGAAGCCCAAGTTTTTTGACCCTAGCACCACATAGTCCCCTGAGCACTGCAGGAGTGACATTAGAGCTTTGCAGGCTATGGGCCGCCCCAACCTGCCCAAACCAAAACAATAAAAATAAAATTGTTTTGCTTTAATTTTTTTCCTTTTAAATTAAAAAAGGCTCTCCACCAGGTGGGGAAGCTTGAATAGTGGCTCTTCCTTTCATCAATTTTTAACTGTCAGAGCAAACCTGCTACCTGCCCCCACAGTATCCACAAAGTGACTTTCAATGCAGGATCAAAAACTTTGCATGCCATCTGGTCCCTGTTGCAATTGTCCCTCTGTATTGTGGGGTAAAAGCAGCCAAAGTCAGTTTGTCAGTGAATCAACATTGGCTATATTACTTTAAAACTCATGATTAAAAGCCGTGCAGCAAACTATTCAGGAAAAAGAAAGAAAAGGATGACAGAATTCCTTCCAGAAAATTAGAAAATAGCGTTCTTGGAAAAGTTTTCCCAAACAAATTACAAAAAGTATAAACCATCAAAAGCTGCTAAATTTGACTGCCCCAGCGTACTAAATTTTGCAGGCAAAAGGTATCTTAAACAAAATTAACAACAAAGTGAACAAGAAACTTACTAAAGAAAAAAGGAATATATATTTACATATAGTAGGAGTGTGTGTGTGTGTTTGTGTGTGTGTTTGTGTGTGTGTGTGTGTCCACATACAATCTCAAAGCTTTAGTATCCATCCAAAGGACTGGTAGCATTAATCTGTAAGCCATTAATCTGTTTGCATTGAGATTTGTAGGGAAATTGAGTCTCAGTGTTTAAAAACTTCTATAGCAGTTTAATATCATTTCAATATTTGAGCAGCACATCATTTTTCTAATATGTTTTGGCTGTTATAAGAATACTGGGACAGAGCAGTAGTTCAGCAGGTAGGGCACTTGCCTTGCACACCGACGACCCCAGTACCATCCCAGATAATCGCCCGAGCCCCACCAGGAGTGATCCCTGAGCGCAGAGACAGGAGTAAGTCCTGAGCACTGCTGGGTATAACCCAAAAATCAAATAAAAATGAATGTTGGTTCATAGGAATAAGCTGGCCTTTCACTAAAGTTAGTTTGGGAAACATGTAAAGAGTTCTTTATTGGGGGTTGGGACAGGAAATGGATTTGCGCCATGCCCTGCAATGCTTAGGGATCCAGGGATCAAACCAGGGCCACATGCAAGGCAAATGTCTTAACTCTTGTACTGTCTCTGGCCCAAGAGTTCCCATTACTGAAACATATGAGAATCTAGATCAACTATTTGAAAGCATTGAAGTTTATGAGTACGCAAGTCATGGAAGAGGAACCCAATGGCCAGTAAACCCAAATGACCATTCAAACTAGCTGGGAACCTGAAACCTTGGTTCTGTCATGTTGAGTGATGTTGGGTTTTTAACCATAGTACTGTTGACATTTTGAGCCAGATCACTGGGGGCGTTGGGGACGTGAGGGGAGTGGGGGGTGCTGTCTTATGCACTGTAGGACTTGTAGCAGTCTTGCTGTTTGCCACACACTAGCTGCCAATAGACTCCCCTCCCCCGCCTGCTCTATAAATAGAACATAATTTTGGAAATAGCCAAAAAGGTCTCCAGACAGTGTCAGTTGTTCCTGGGGGGCAAAAATCACCCCCAAAAGAGAACAACTGGTGCAAGGAAAAAATTCTCTATTTTCTTTTTTTTCCTTTCTATTTATTTTTCTTGAAAAAAATGTTTAAATGTTTGGGCCACACGTGGTGGTGCTCAGGGCTTACTCCTAGTTCTGTGCTCATAGAGCACTCATGGCAGCACTTGGTGGACTAGATGTGGTACCTGGGAATCCATCCCCGGTCAGTGCCAGGCCAAAGTCCTTAACCTCATACTATCTCTCTGGCCCTAGCCCTGGACTTCTTAAACCTTAGCCATTCACATCTCCCTTTTCCCTGGAGAAACACATGGTGGGTGAGTGCTGCCAGAGACACCTCGGATTCATTTCACAGTTGATTTTTAATTTATTTATGATCACAGTACATTCAAAAGTCTTTTACTGTTGCCAATGTTTCTGTGACCCACATGTTCAGTTAGAGTTTAAAAATCAGGCTCCAGACCTAGTGGGAGTATGAATTAGAGTAAAAGGGGTCAGCACTTCACTAAAATTAAAACATGCACATCCCAAAACTCAGAAGCTTCACTTCTTGGTGAAGTCAGGAAAACATAGGCCTGTGGGCACAGAGAGCCTAATGTAATGACAGACACCAGAGCCAGGCCATTGAGATAGCCCGATGGGCTGGACACATGCTTTGCACGAGGGGTGATTCGGATTTTATCCCCACCAGTAGGAGCAATCTCCATTTACCAGTAGATAGAAACGAAAAAAGAAAAACCGAGGGACAATTTAAATGTCTGTCAGCAGGCTGGAAGATAGTACAGTGGGGAAGTCACTTGCTTTGCATGCACCCGACCGGAGTTTGATCCCTAGAACCACATATGGTCCCCTAAGCCCTATCAAGAGTGATTCCTGATCACCATTGGGTGTGATCTAAAAACCAGTAAAATAAAATAAATGTTCATCAACAGGGCAGTGATGCAAATCAAAACAAAAGGAAAACTATACACTAAGTTCTGAAAAGGGGCCATAGTGATGGATGGGCACTTGCCATGCATACAGCCAACCTAAATTTGATTCCTGGCATCCCATATGGTATCCCAAGGATAATTCCTTAGTGGAGGGCTAGAAGTAGCCCCTGAACATCACTGTGTGTACCCTCCTCCCAAATAAAAAGAAATTAAGTTCTGATGGCCATATTTAAAAAGAATGAGGTAAAGGTGGAAACAACCCAAATATCCATAACAAATGAGTGGATAAACAAAATGCAGCATGTAGAAAAGGATTCAGCCTTTAGAATGATATTCTGATATATACAGCAATGTGGATAAACCTCAGATATGCTCTCAGTGAAACAGGCAGACACTAGACAAAGATCCGTGACTGCATTTACAAGCAGCTTATAGAAATCCAAGGAGACAGAGGAGAGTGAAAATTAATGGGAACCTGGGGTGTCTGGAGCCAGAATTATTGCAGAATGAGTGCAAAGTTTCAGTATGTGATAATGGAAAGCACTGATGAATAGTGTTAATACTTATACACATTACAAATACTCAAAGTCACTCAACTTAAAAATGGTTGACATGGAGCCGAAGGTGGGGTTCAATTGGTATAAAGTATATGTCTTGCATAGTGAGACAGACTCAGTTTGATGCTCAGCACCACATGCCCCCTTTAGAATCTCCAGTTGTGGCCCTTGTGACTCCAAGCACAATCAGAAGTGACCCCTACAATTAAAATAAATGTTTTAGGGTCCAAAGCAATAGGACAGAAGGTAGGGTGCTTGCCTTGCATGAGGCTAACCCAGGTTTGATCCCCAGCATCTACTATAGTCCTCTGAGTCTGGCCAGAAAAAAATTCCTGAGTGCAGGGCCAGGAGTAAGCCCTGAGAATCTCCAGGTGTGCCCTCCCCCACCCCCCCCCCAAAAAAAAACACAAGAGAAAAATCCTTTAGTACTTAAGAAGGGAAGTTTATATTATGCATATTTCTCTAGAATTTTAAAAATTGATATTGATGGTTGTGTATTACTAAATAAATATTTCCAAGACATAATGCAACACTACACATAAATGTACAGATGTAAATGCCGACTAGGCATTCAAAATGGTAGGAGGTAGGATTTAAATCTGAAGAGGGATGTAGCTTGGAACTGATGCGTAACAAGGATTTCAGCCTCCTCTATGTTTCAGTCTTTGGAAAGGAGAGTTCATTCATGTTTTGCTATGGGATTTGAAACTTCTAAGATGACCCCTGAAAAGAAACGCAGCTACAGACCTGAGCTCTCTCCAGCAAGGGAAACAGTGCTTGGGGGACACTTTTTATACCCTTTGAAATTTGAACTACAAAACATCACTATATAAATAAAATGTGCAAATAAAGTCAATGGTTAGAGAAACATTCCCCAGTTTATACTAAATTCAAAGCAGCCAACTTGTTCTTTGTAGTTCCCGTAAATTATTCCTTCACTTCCTTCTTCCTGTCCTGCCCTTCACCCTTCCCCATGCCAGGGGTGCCCCAGACTGTCGTTGTTAATGCCCTTTTCCTGTGAAATCATGTTTTCCAGACCGCAAAGAACTTAATACCTCACCAGAGTCCCAGCTGTGGCTCAGTTCTGTATCACAGCAACTAAGAGTGGTAGTTGCCAGCCCTTTCCATTCCCGACTTCTCAGACTAGTCAGCGCAAAGTCAAAGGGAAAGATTTGTCAAAGTCAAAGTCAAAGTCAAAGGGATTCTGGTCCTGACTCAGTTCTCTGTGTGTCTATGCAGAGGTTCCTCTCACTCAGGTCACAGCCTGGAGAATGGGCATGAGAGACCCCCAGTTTTTTCCACAGGGCCACCCTGTGGAGCGGGGAAGAGAGGAAAGAGACTGCCTTGCTGACAGTCTTGTGCTCTGTCCTGGGAAGGGCCTCTTCTCTAAGTCTGACACCTTTCCTAATGAGCGCCCTGTGCTCACCACTAGGTACGTGCCAGTAGGCATCATGTTCCTGGTGGGAAGCAAGATCGTGGAGATGAAGGACATTGTGGTGCTGGTGACCAGCCTGGGGAAATACATCTTTGCGTCTATACTGGGCCATTTCATCCACGGGGGAGTTGTTCTGCCACTTATTTATTTTGTCTTCACACGAAAGAACCCATACAAGTTCCTCCTGGGCCTCCTGACACCATTTGCAACGGCATTTGCCACCTGCTCCAGGTGAGTGGTTTGGGGGTGCCTCTCACTGCTCTGGGTTCCCCTGATCTAGAACCAAGTGAGTCCAGTGGTAGATGCACAACCTCGCGCCTTGGCCCGTTTTATTTCCAATTCTAAGTCAGTCTCCTCTGATTTTATTTATTTTGGTCTTAGCAGCTTTTATGAAAGTAGATTTCTGGCATGGATTTCTGTTTCAACCCCTACTCTCTTGAGGTTCCCTCATTCCCTTCTTCATCTTGCTTTTTTTAGAGGCCACTCAGAGCTTTAGGCCACTCAGCCTCTAGGTTCCCATCCTCATTCATCAGATCTCTGAGTGGAAGAAGGTAGCTACTTGACTCAAAATGCCCGGCATGGGAGTTTCTAGAATGGCACCTGCCCAGTTTTCCCTGTGGAGGCAAGGATTGGTGCACGACTCTCTGGCTGTCCACAGCACTTATTATCTCGCTTGGCACAGGGGATGCACCTTGTCCTTGGAAATCCACCGTCACAAGCACGGTGGGCTTCCCAAATCTGCTCAGGAAACGCTTCTCAGAGCGTTGAAAGTAGCACGTTGTGTCGTTCACGCATTGCATTTCCATGTCTAATGCGTCCTTTTTTCCATTCCTCATGGCAGCTGACAGGGTAATGAGATTTAGGGGATGAGTTTTCATTTGGCCTGGTCAGGAGCCAGCCTGCCTCGCTAGAGCACTAACTCGCCTCTGGGAGCAGACTTGAACGGCAGCTTGTTCTTACAGCCCCTCGGCTCCCAGCTCCTCTTCCCAAAGACCCAGAGCCATTTCTGCTTCTGAGCCTTTCTGGGAAAAGAATACAAAACCAAACACCCTACTTTACCTTTCACTTTGGAGAGGGAAAAAAAAATGTCAAGAGAGGAAATGCATGGAGAGAGTAAATAATTCTTTGTTTTCTTAAGAATATTTTGCACCAAGAGGTAGTGTGTGGTTCTTTAGGAATTTGGAGCAGGTGGAAGCAGATAATTATCAAACAGGTAAACCGAAGGAGTCATATTTTGAATACTTTGGGAGCTGATAAAACTCCTCCGTGTTGTGGTGGAAACCTTGAGACAGTTCTGACTCCCCAACCCACCGCCCCCAGCAGCCTGGTGTTTTACAGGATGAGAGGCGGGTTCAGAGCTCTGCCAGTGCCCCGGTACTGTCCCCCAGTCCTGCTGAGTGACGGTAGCCCGGTGAGGGTGCACTGCGCTCAGCGCCCATTGCCTTTCCGCCTCCAGCTCAGCAACGCTTCCCTCTATGATGAAATGCATCGAAGAAAACAACGGCGTGGACAAGCGGATCGGCAGGTTCATCCTCCCCATCGGGGCCACCGTGAACATGGACGGGGCAGCCATCTTCCAGTGCGTGGCTGCCGTCTTCATTGCTCAGCTCAATAACGTGGAGCTGAACGCCGGCCAGATCTTCACCATCCTGTGAGTCCAGTCCCCTTCCCCTCACGTGCAGACCCAGTCAAACCTCGTGATGTCCTTTGCAGAACAGGTTCAAAACCAAATTTCCCCCACCTTGATCCGGGAAGAAAACAAAGGAAGATGGAGAAGGGATCTCCACCGCTCAGGGGCAGGCTTACCCTGCAGAATCTAGGGCTGTGTGGCCCTCAGTTTCTGAGCCAGGGTTGCCACGTTCTGCCTGTTTTGCTGCCCATGCCACACTGTGTGTGAATGGCTGACCAGGCTCTGCTGTCCCCTAGAGTGACTGCCACAGCATCCAGTGTTGGAGCGGCTGGCGTGCCAGCAGGAGGCGTCCTCACCATCGCCATTATCTTGGAGGCCATTGGGCTACCCACGCATGACCTCTCTCTGATCCTGGCTGTGGACTGGATTGTGTAAGTAGCAAGTCCTGTGAGTACGGAAAAGGTGTGTGTGTGTGTGTGTGTGTGTGTGTGTGTGTGTGTAGGGGAGGGTCAGAAAGAAAGTGAAGTGGTATCTGAGCTCGATTCTCAGTTAGCCCTGGGGCACCCCTGCCTCCTGAGAGTGTGTCTGCCCCCACCCACCACTGCATGGGTAAGACAAGATTGAGAACAAAGAAAATGTTCAAAGACCCACAAGAAGGGAATCAAAGACCCGTAAGTGGGGGCTGGGAGGACAGTGCTTAGGGTTCGTGCCTCGCATATGCCCCACCTGAATTCAGTTCTCACATGGTCTTCCTGAGGCCCCCCGCCACACACACACACACACACACACACACACACACACACACACATACACACACACACACAGAGCGCGCATGCGCGTGCAGAGGTAGCCTGGGTATCCCTAACATCACATTTTCAGGCCCCCACATTGAGTTGTCAGCCTGCCTAGCTAAGGAAGACTCATCAGTGGGCCCCTCGGCCTCCTACATGCTCTTGAGGGTGCACCTCCCCTCAAAACAAAGAGCCATAAATGGCACAAATGACCATAAAATGTTGTTACCAAGAACCTGCATATAGCATCCAAGGATGTGGGGTCCAGACCCCAGCATCCATGAATATTGTTACTGCAGGAGAGTCCTTGGGCATTGGAGTAGTGTGCAGAGCCCTCAGGAATGACTGTTCTTGCCCTGAAAGCAGAGGGTAGGGTGCCTGTCTTACATACTTCTGCACCACTTATGGCTCCCTGAGCCCCACCAGAACCAGGAGTAAACTCTGAGCACCTCAGAGTGTGACCCAGATTTCCTTTCTTTCTTTTTTATTAAAAAAAAAAAGCGTCCAAGGAGTGATTTCTGTGAGGGGAGAGAAAGTGAAACCCCTAGCGGTTCGGGCCCACCGTCTTCCAGAGGCCAATGGACAGCTAGGTAGGGACCTGCAGAGACGAGACACATGGGGCCTCATGGGATGGGGATGGAGCCGGCCCTTTCCTCCCCCACCCCAACAAGACCCCAGTGACCGTCTATGAATGGGCTCTCTGGCTACTCAACACGCTGCTTAAGCCATGATCCCAGAGACTCAGAAACAAATCTCGGAACACACACACACACACACACACACACACACACACACACACATTCTCTCTCTCTCTCTCTCTCTCTCTCTCTCTCTCTCTCTCTCTCTCTCTCTCTCTCTCTCTCTCTTCTTCCTCCAAGCCTGTGCCACCCCTCAACTCACTAAGTACAGTGGCAGCCCTGGAGCCCAGGCACCTGGTATGTGTCGTGGCTTTCCAGTCCGCTTGCTGTGTGACACGAGCTACCCTGTGCTTTTGCTCTGCTGTCTGTCAAATAGGAGCGCAGGGCCCTGCCGGAGATTAGGTCAGTTCCCACTGGTAAGGTGCTCGGAGCACAGGCCTGGAGGAAGAGGCCTTTGGGCAGCGGTGGGAGCTGAGCCAGGCCTGGCCACCATGCCAAGCCTAGGGGTGATTTCCGTGAGGGGAGAGAAAATGAAACCTAGGTTCTCTGGCCTTTTTCTTCCCAAGCCAGGAAATGCAGCACAGACCCTTACAGCTTAGCGGGTCCCTGGTAAGGGAGATGATGTCAGGACAGAGTTGGAACCCCCCCCCCCGCCCCCCCCCCCCGTGTTCTTTGCTCATCTAGCGTCACCCCTGCAGGGATATGGCAAGTATGGAGAGGGTGCTTGGCTGGCACGCGGAAAACAGGGTCCAGGGCAGAGGCCTGGAGTCACGCCCTCCCCCACCCCACACCCCAAGGCCACCCCCAGTCTCTGAGCCCTCAGCTCTCACCCTGTCCGATGGCAGTGTTTCCCACCAGCTCAGGGAGAGCCACGTTTGGGGGCTGTTCCCGGAGAGAAAGAGCCGCCATTGGCCAGCAGCCACAGGCTTGATATTCAGCAGACGCCAAGTTCTCACGAGAAAAAGAAGGGGAACTGCCACAGGCCGTGAGGTCGAGTGGAAAGGAAGCTGTTCAGACCTCCCGTGGCCTTTTCCTCAGAGGCCATAGGCCAGTGTTTGCAGGCACCAGAGAGACGGCCTGGGCTTAGTTACTGCTGCCTCGTTCAGTGCTGGGAGCTGGGGTGATGCTATTTTTTTCCCTCATATTAAATATGAAGACACCATGATTTACAGAGTTGTCTGTAGTTGTATTTCAATACACAGTGTCCAGACACCAATCCCACCACCAGTGTGCCCAGGTCCCCTCTTACCCCAGTCAGACTTCTTGGTCAGCACATTTTTTTTCTTTCTTTTTTTAAAATTTTTTTTATTTTAATGAATCATTATGAGATACATTTACAGACTTACAGATTTTCATGATTGTGTTTCAGTCAAACAATGTTCAAGTACCCATCCCTCCACCAGTGCCCATTCCCCACCCCCAATGTTCCCAGTATCCCTCCCCACACCCTCACCCCTTCCCACCTCCTGCCTCTGTGGCAGGCACAATCCCTCTTACTCTCTCTGTCCTTTCGGGTCTTACGGTTTGCAGTACAGGTAACAAGTAGCCATCATGTTTGTTCCAGTCTACTTTAAACGTGCATCTACTATCCTGAGCGATTCCTCCAACCATCATTTATTTAGTGCTCCTCTCTTCATCCCAGTACCTGGTCAGCACATTTTCAAGTTTGATTATTGCAGTTTGGGTCTTCTGATTGCAGTACTGTTGGATCTTTTCCCACAGGAAGGCACATTCTTCCAGGAAAGTGAAAAAGATGCCAAGAAAATTGTGTGTGCATGTGTGTGTGTGTGTGTGTGTGTGTGTGTGTGTGTGTGTGTGTCTGTTTGGGGCGAGAGGGAGGTCGCTTCCCTGAGAACTCCAAATCCCAGGCCTCATGCAGCCTTTCTGTGCCTCCAGGGACCGCACCACGACTGTGGTGAATGTGGAGGGGGACGCCCTGGGCGCAGGCATCCTTCACCACCTGAACCAGAAGGCAATGAGCAAAGGGGAGCAGGAGCTGACCGAGGTCAAGGTAGAAGAGGCCGTCCCTAACAGCAAGTCAGAGGAGGAGACATCCCCCCTGGTGACACACGGCCCTGGGGCCCGTGGCCCCGCTGTGGAATCCAAGGAGTCGGTTCTGTGATGTGGTAGGCCTGACAGTGGGGGAGGCCTGGCCTGTGAGTCCAGCCAGACCCTGGAAATTGCCTCCCACTGACCTCCAGCTCCCCCAGCCTCACTTTGGCCCAGTCACTGCTTCGAGGATGACCTCCCGGGCCTTCCCAGTGGGAACTGGTCACCAAGAGCCAGGACACTCACCCTGACACCGGGCCGTGTCCCAGGGCGCTGTGTGGGCACCCTCCAGCTGCCCCGCCTGGAGAGAGAGCAACTCCTGGGGACCAGGTGGTTAAAGCTTGGAAAAATGCAGCTGGATTCTTCATTGTGGCCGGGCAGCTTCGCTTTTGGGTGCTTTCTGGGCAAGCCCCAAGGTGGGGGGTTGGTGGCAGTTTCCTGTCACACCGCCTGGTAAGCTTGCATCACTGGGAACCATCCCCCACCCCACCCCCCACCCCCGATCTTTCTTTCACCTTGGCTGAATGTCGATGAACTGAGGAGCTTAGACTTGATGCTCCAATTCACTGTGGCTGCCTGTGGTTCCTTGGCGTGGATATGCGGCACATGGTCAATTTTGAAGGAACCATCCCCCCCGCCCCGCCCCCCTGAAGCCGGGAGCATTGCTGGAGCCTGTGGTCAGTGGCATTCAGAAAACTACGGGAATTCTGAGGTCAAAAAGGAGGAGGGGGGGGGAGGGGGAGCAGGGGGAGCACCCTCTCTGGACAGGACAGTTGTTCTCACTCTCAACCCTGCCCCAGGGCTGCTTTCTCCCCTGCACTCTGACCTGGCAATCGGCCAGCAAAGGGCCTCCTCCTTCAAGGAGGGGTGACATGGCACCCCGTTCAGGACCCTTTGGTGGCTGATCCATCTATATAATTCAGCCACAATATGGCAGGAAACTAACCAAGCACACCCCACTCACCCACCCCTGCTAAAGAGCCCCCAGATCTAGCTGTAGTCAAGCTCCATGACGAGGTGTTCCCTTTCGCTGTTTACTCAAAATTGAGAAAATCTGCCAAAGTCTGCATTGCCCCAGACCCCTGCAGGCGCAGGTTGAAATCAAGGTGGTAGCAGAGGTGGTGTGTTTGGTTGGGGTGGGGGGAGGGTCACCCCAGGCCCCAGGGATGCCCCCAAATGCACTTACCTGCTCTTTCACAGGGGCCATTGGCGTCTATCCATATCCGTGGGGTGACCTGCAGCCAATCCCTGACCCTTCTGTACCGTGTTTATGAAATGGGGCAGGTGTCACCTTCCTCTTAGCTACCTCAGAGGGATTGGGTAAGGTGAACAGAGGGGATCCCCGGAAGCACCCATTTCACTTCTCGGAGAGCCAGTGCAAACATCCCCCCAGCAATTCTTTTCTTATTTTTTACCGAAGTGAGGCCTTTTCCCCGTGTCCTCAGCACAGGGCTCGGTACCCCGCGCACATGCTCGTGCCCATGTTCCTCTGTGTCCTTGGATCAGCGACAGCCTCTTCCCACGGGCCCTCGGGTCTGGGTGCATTTCCTGCCCCTCATTTCTCCATATCCCATGGTTCTGAGACAGCTTCTGCCCCCTGTAGGCCAGTCCAGACCCCCAGCTCTCAGCCTCGCATCTCCCCTTGTTCCCTGTCGCAACAGCCTTGTTCTTCTCACTTGGCCCTGCAGGACAGATGGTGAAGCTTCATCTGTCTGAGGGCAGAACAGGAACCTGCGTGGGTCTGGGACTAAAGGTGGGAAGCACCCAGGGCACCCTAAGCTGAGCAGAAAGGTCCAGAAGCCTCAGCCCCAGAGCTGGAGCCTGATGCTGACACCCAGCTACTCGCGCAGGGGAAATAATCCTTTGTCAGTCTCTGCCAGGCTTCCGTGCAGCTCTCCTCCCTGCTCCTCCTGTCCCTGTGGCTGTGCCTGTCCACATACACACCGAGTTTCTGTGTGTACACACTTACCGATAACGGTTTCAGCTCCAGTGCAAGCAAGTTGGAGTTTGGATGCAGGTGACCAAATTGCCAAGTGGTGTGGTTTTATCGAGAGGGTAACTTTCCCATGGGATGGGGTGGGGTGGGGGAGTTCAGGGGTGTATGTACCTAGAAGTGATGCTTCCAGACACCCCACCCACAGCCTGTGATGCTCAACCCCTTCCCCTGAGAGGCAAACAAAGGAGGGAGAAGGTGGCCAGCTCCCCCTGCTTTTCATCCCATCCCATCCCATGAGAGGGATGTGACCGGCACAGGCGGGTCTGAAGATGTGTCTCCCGGTACCCTCTGCTAACGTGCTATTGTAAATACTGCTCGTCTCTTCTTGTTTTGTACTTGTGACACTTGCCTTAAAACATAGCATTTCTCACAAATGAATACAGTGTTTCTACCAGCACCTGGCTGTGCCTTTGTTCCTTTCTTGGGTTTTGAAGCGCCTTGACAGATGGAATTTTGGCTGGATCTGGGGATAACTTTTGCAGGAGACCAGATTGTTTCTTGCTGCAGGCAATGGGATCACCCCAGGGGCTGCCCCAGCACGTATGTATCTGCCTCTGGCTCTTGCAAAATGTGAGCCTTTTGGCCACTATTCTCTCACAAATGTGAAGTCTTGTTAGTACAGTGAGGTCTTCAGCCCCCACCTGAGCATCTGCAGAAAACAGGAGTCCAGCTGGAAGCATGCATGCGGAGGGTGTGGAGTTACTGAGATAGCAGCCTTGTGGGGCCCCGGCCTGCTAGGGCTCGACCATCCTTAGCGCTGCCACACCCAGCCCTTTTCCATAATCTTCATTTCAAATGATACCACATTCCAGCCCAATTGGGGAATCTACAAGTTTCTTATTATAGGATTACCCTGCAAGCTCACACTGGAAGCCTTCCTCTCCCGACCTCGGAGGCCTTTGAAGAAACTCTGACCTGGGTATTTCCTTCTCATCAAATCATTCGAAAACCGGTTTTCGTTTCTGGGCAAAGTCCAAGGGGAAAAGGAGAGAGTTTGCACAGAATGAAGGGCCTGATGGGACCTGTCACAATCGGCAACTTGGATTCTCACCCTGGAGCGTAGCTGACTTGTTTCTCTCTCCTGGAGAGCGTTTGGAGGTTGGGATTAATACCCAGTGGTTCAGCTTCTCACGGTAGCCAAAGCAAAAGAAGTGGGACTGGAGACCACCTACTCCAGGAAACAAAGAGCAGATCTGTTGGGTCACCCGAATCTCCTGGGAGACATTTCCGATCCCTCTGTGATCTTGTTGCTGTGTGTGCAAGGGGACGTTGTGGAGCAGGAGAAGGCAGCTGTGCACATCGCCACCTCGCTCCTGCATGGGTCACCGCAAAGCAGTCAATGGGTGAGTCCCCGGGTCTGGCAAAGCCTGCCTGGGCACCCCATCCCTGCCTAGGTCGGCCACCAGACCAGAACCCTCTTGCATTCACAGCATGGAAGTTAGCCCTGGGGCTGGAAAGACCGTACAGCAGTTACCTTGCATGTGGCCAACCCGGGTTCAATCCGCAGCAACTCCAGGAGTGATCCCTAAAGTCAAGAGTAAGATCTTAGTGTCAGTGGGTATAGCCCTAAAACCAGGGGGAAAAAAGGTCTCCACCCCAATTTTTAGGGTTCCCTGTACTACAATTGTGGGGATAATAGGCTCTTCTCTGAAAGAGTTGTCAGTTTCCAATCTCCACCCAAATTCTAGGTTCTTTGTCTATCTTGCAGAAAGGAATTGTAGGAAAAGAGGAAGTCTAGCAATACGATTTTGCTGAGGGAAAAATGCGAGAGGAAGAGAGTCCTGTAAAGGAAAATTAGACTGCCAGAGCAGGGGCACGTGGGTGACTCCTGCATGGAAGCTGATTCCGTAGGGCCCTTTCCCCAGCTGCCTTCACTTGGGCTCTTGGGTGCTTGGCTCTTTCAAGGGGGCCAGAGCGATAGCCCAGGGGTTAAGCGTGTGCCTCACGTGAACCTGACAGTCTTTAGTCCCTCACGTCCCCCAAGCATGGCAGGTGCAGCCCTGAGCCCCACCCTGGCACACCAGGGGGGCCTGAGTAATCCCCAGCACTGCAGAGCCCAAGAAACATGGCAGCATCAGCTCAAGCCTACAGCCTCTGGCTGGGCGGGCAGAGAGCCACAGGGAGGGAGGGGTGGTGGCTCAGAGCACCTGCCTTGCAGCCTGGCAAGTGTATGATCATGAGTCAAATCCCCAGGATCAGATATGGACCAAGCACAATCCTGGCTCCACAAAAGAGAAGAGAAAATGAGTCCCTGCTAGGGAAGAGCTTGAGCCGTGGTGGCCTGCTGTTGGTTCAGTCTTGGCAGGGCCTTTGTTTCTGCCTCTGTGTTGACGCTGAGAGGGTCTAGCCTTTGGGTCTGAACTTGCCCTCTTCAGTCCCAAGCCTTGGGCTACTGGCAGAATAGCTCCTTTCCAGATTCTTTCAAGTATCCCCAATATTTCTTGATTTTACAGCTTCCTTCGGTTCATTGCTTAGGGGCTCCTTAGCTGTCTCTTTCGCTCGAGAACTTCGGGAGCCTGGCATGGGAAGTTGCACAGGCAGAGGCAGTGAGAGGCTCTGCCAGCCTTCATTCCTTTTGTGCTGACCCAGGTGGCCAACACATGCTTGACCATTCCCTTATGAGAGAGGATATTCTCGCTCAACCCATGGACACCACAGCTAACGCTAGCCACCACTTATTCAAAAGGACAAGACACCAGTTTATAGGATAGAGTATTAAACAGGCTCTATGTTCACATGTGCATGCAATCTTTCACGTGCTCCTCCCCTCCAGGTTTGGGGACAGCCACATGTACTACACACACTCACACATACATACCCGCCATACACACACTCACACCCCGCCATCCACTACCCCCACATATACCAGAAACACACTTCATACATACAAACACCACATACCTCACACATAAATACCATGTTCACACTTACATACTATCTACACACTACCCACACACATACACTCAGCACATACACCACATATGCCACACAAGCACACAACCACACACATCCATACACTGCTCACTCATACACCAGAAACACACACCATACCTCACACATACTGCGCACACACACTGCCTTCACACACACAAGACACACTCACATACCATCTACACATAATCCACACAATTACTCAGCACATACACGCACCACATATGCCATACAACATCACACAGACACATACGTTCCTATGCTGCTCACTCATAGATCACAAACACATCCTCAACATGCACCACACAGGTACACACTCTGCCGTTAAGTCCATCCCAGTAGACCAGTAGTGCTTTTTCCTGAGAATCTTTCCTGCTCACTGCAGCAGAGCATCAAGATGCCCATTCTGGGCAGGGCTCACCTTGGGCAGACAGGGGAGAGGGCTGGGGCAGGGTTTTTTCCTCTGTTATTGAAGAACATTAATGAGAGCCTCGATCTTGCCTCTTTTCCCAGATTGCTTAAATACTTCGCTGTCTTTTTTTTTATAGTCAACTTTTTATTTTATTGTTTTAATTAAATTTCATTTTATTTTATTGTGTCAGGGACTGAGCTCAGGGCCTCCTATAAGTGAAGCGTGTGTTTCCCCCATATCCCCAACCTTCAAAGCTACCTGTCTTCTTTTTTTTAATTTTTATTAGTGAAACACCATGAAGTACAGTTGTAGACTTACAAATTTTTGTGCTTGGGTTTCAGTTATACAGTGA